ATTTTACACCTTAAGGAACCTGAAAAATAAGAAACTAATCCCAAAGCTATCAGAAGGAAGGAAATAATAAAGATTAGGGCAGAGAAAAACAAAACAATGAAAAGAAAAAGCAGAGAAAATTAACTAAAGCAAGAGTTATTTCTTCAGAAAGATTAACAAAATTGACAAACTATTAGCTAGATTCACTCAGAAGAAAAGAGATAAGGCCCAAATTACTTAAATCAGAAATGAATTTGAGAGGATGGAGTCAGGATGGCGGTGTAGGTGGACTCTGAACTCACCTCCTCCCACAGACACAACCAATTTACAATCACACTGGGAACAGTTACCCCTTAAAGAGAACTGAAAACTGAATAAAAAGAACCCCCACAACAAGGGACAGTCCTGACTGAAGTGGAAGAGGAAAAATTCCTTTCTGGAGAGAAAAAAATCCACCTTCGTGAGTCATGGCAGTTCACAGCTGGCCAGGAGCAATCATAAGGTACACAGCCTTCCCTGGAGGAGCAGGGGAGCTGAGATGTAGAGCATTACTGCTATAAGCATCCTTTGGACTCGGCACAACCAAAACATCTGTCTTTGCTGGCTGTTAACAACAATGGGGAATATCCCCCAGAAAAGCTATCAGACACGAGCAGCAAAAAAAAAAAAAAGCCAGCTCTTAAAGGGCCCAGGGACAAATTCACCTGTTTCAGAAAGCAAACTAAAATCACCAGAAAGAAAGATGCACAGTCCTTTGGTGAAAAGAGACTCACCTGATAGGCTCTGGGTGCATCTTGGTGAGAGATGAGACCTCTCCAGGGACTGAGACATTAGTGGCAGCCATTACAGTGACCTAGTACAGGCATGCTGACACAGATGCTGGCAGATGCAATTTGAGTTCTCCTCCTGGCCTATTAGCCCAGGTTCAGCTCCACCCACTAGAGCACCAATCTAATATAGGTCAGCCAGGGCAGGCAGCCTGCCTTAGGGACAGGCCTCACCCAACAGCAAGCCCTCAAGCAACCTGTGGGTATACAGAGTCTGGGTGCCTGGATCCTCTGCAGCTGGGTGAGTGGGTCCACTTCTGCAGGGCAGGGCATGCATGAGGAGTAGGTGGAGTGTGTGGGGTATTGGTAGTATGTGTGGGACCTCTGCAGTGGGGTGACTGGGTCTGCTTCAGGGGATTTGGATGTGCCCATGGGGCAGGACTGTGTTGACAGTGTGTGTAGCCCTGTGGGCAGTGGGACTTGTCAGCTGCAGAAGACTTGTACTTCTCAAACAGCCATATAGGAGATCAGCCCCACCTTTGAAAGCCTGAAACAATTGAGTCCTCCCTTACCTGCAGCCAGCCCCACTCAGCTGCAATCCTGAGAGAGCTTACAACAGCATTGAAGGCTGGAAGCCTACAACAATTGTAAGCCCTGGTAAGCCACGCTGTGGACCCACTCACTTAACAGAAAAACTGCAATGGGCATTTATTAGTAGACCTTGAAGCCAACTGTGCTGGGGCTCCTCAAACCTGAAAAAGTGACTGAAGGGTCCACAGCAGCCACACACAGCTGAGAATTAAAACCAGCTGGCCAGGGAAACAGCCTAGCCTCCATAGGCACCTGAAGCAAGAGAAACTCTGCCACAACAGAAGAACACATGTAGCCCACAAACAGGTCACTCCAGGAATATTTGAAACTGGTGACAGGAGGGAAGTACATTGCTGGACCTCACAAGTCATCTCTTACATAAGGCCACCTCTCCAAGATCAGAAGATGTAGTTGACCCATCTGATACGTAGATATAAGCACAGAGAAAGAAGCAAAATGAGGAGGCAAAGGAATACATTCTAAGTAAGGGAACAGGACAAAAGTAAACTAAATGAAACAGAAATAAATAATCTACCCAACAAAGAGTTCAAACAAAAACTCATAAGGATGCTCACTGATCTTGGGAGAAGAATGTATGAACTCAGTGAGAACGTCAACAAAGAATTCGAAAATGTAAAAAAGAACAAATCAGAAATGAAGAATACAATACTGGAAATGAAAAATTCACTAGAGGGACTCAATAGCAGAGTAGATGATACAGAAGAACGGATCAGAGAGCTGCACTAAAGACTAGAGGAAATCACCCAAGCTGAACAGAGAAAAGAAACGACAATTAAAAAGAACAATAACAGTCTAAGGAACCTCTCTGAAACAACATCAAGCACACTAACATTCGTATCATAGGTGTCCCAGAAGGAGAAGAGAGAGACAAAGGGGCAGAGAATCTATTTGAATAAATAATACCTGAAAACTTTCCTAACCTAAGGAAAGAAACAGACATCCAGTTACAGGAAGCACAGAGGACACCAAACAAGATAAACCCAAATACTCTACCTGACAACTTTATCATTCAGAATGGAAGGAGAGATAAAGAGTTTCCAAGAAAAGCAAAAATTAAAGGAGTTTATGACCAAGATACAAGTTTTGCAAGAAATGCTAAAAAGACTTATTTAAGTGGAAAGAGAAGACCACAAATAGGAATAAGAAAATTATCTCCAAAAAAAGGCAATAAAATCACTGGTAAAGGCAAAAATACAGTAAAGATGGCAGATCAACCATCTATGAAGATAATATGAATATTAAAAGACGAAAGTACTAAAATTACCTATTTTAATGATAAGATGGGAACAGACACACACCCACAAAAAACGAGGTTAGATATCATATCGAAAACATAAAATGTGGGAGGACAGGAGTAAATGAGTAGAGCTTTTAGAAAGAGGTCAAACTAAAGAGACCATCAACTTAATATAGATTGCTATTTATGTAAGTTATTATATAGGAACCTTATGGTAATCACAAACCAGAAACCTATAATAAATACACAAAAAATAAAGAGAAAGGAACCTGAACATAATACTAAAGAAAGCTACGAGACCACAAGGGAAGAGAGCAAGAGAAGAAGAAAGGAACAGAGAAGAACTACTAAAATACCCAGAGAAAAGTAACAAAATGGCAATAAGTACATGCTTATCAATAACTACTTTAAATGTCAACAGACTAAATGATCCAATCAAAAGGAACAAGGTGGCTGATTGGATTAAAAAAAAAAAGAAGACCCATATATATGCTGCATAAAAGAGACACACTTCAGACCTAAAGACACTCACAAACTGAGAGTGAAAGGATGGAAAAAGATACTCCATGAAAATGGCAATGAAAAGAAAGCTGGGGTAGCAATAATTGTATCAGACAAAATAGACTTTAAAACAAAAACTGTAACAAGAGACAAAGACAGGCACTACATAATAAGAAAGGAAACAATCCAACAAAAGGATATAACACTTGTAAATATCTATGCACACAACATAGGAGCACCTAAATATATAAAGCAATTATTAACCGACATAAAAGGAAAAATAGAAAGTAATACAATAATAGTAGGGGACTTTAACACTCCTCTTACACCAATGGGTAGATCATCCAAAGAGAAGAGCAATAAGGAAACATTGGCTTTAATGACACATTAGACCAGATGGACTTAGTAGATATATACAGAAATTCCCTCCAAAAATAGCAGAATAGACATTCTTTTCAAATGCACATGGAACATTCTCTAGGATTGATGACATATTAGGCCACAAAACTAGTCTCAGTAAATTTAAGGAGATTTAAATAATACCAAGCATCTTTTCTGACCGTAAAGGTATGAAACTAGAAATCAACTACAAGACGAAAATCAGAAAAGCCACAAATATGTGGAGATCAAACAAAATGCTACTGAACGATTGAGTCAGTGAAGAAACCAAAGGAAAAATCAAAAAATACCTGGAGACAAATGAAAGTGAAAATACAACATGCCAAAATTTATGGGATACAGTAAACTTGGTTCTAAGAGGGAAGTTTATAGCAATACAGGCCTACCTCCACAAACAAAAAAAATCTCAAATAAACAATCTAACAATGCACCTAAAGAAACTGGAAAAAGAAGAACCAGCAAAGGCCCAAATCAGTAAGGGAAGGAAATAATAAAAATCAGAGCAGAAATAAATTAAATAGAGACTAAGAAAACAACAGAAAAAAATCAATTAAACCAAGAGCTGGTTCTTTGAAAAGATAAGCAAAACTAACAAAACTTTTGATAGACTAACCAAGAAAAAAAAGAGAAGGCTCAAATAAATAAGATCAGAAATGAAAGAGGAGAAATTACAGCAGACACCTCAGAAGTACAAAAGATTATAAGAGAGTACTATGAAAAGCTACATGCCCACAAATTGGATAATCTAGAAGAAATGGATAAATTCTTAGAATCGTACAACCTTCCAAAACTGAATCAAGAAGAAATAGGTAATTTGAATAGACCAGTAAGAAGATCAAACCAGTAATCAAAAAGCTCCCAAAAAATCAGAGTCCAGGACCAGACAGCTTCCCTGGTGAATTCTACCAAACATTCAAAGAAAATTTAATACCTATCCTTCCCAAAGTCTTCCAAAAAATTGAAGAGAAGGGGAAGCTTCCCAAATCACCACGATCAAATGGGATTTATTCCAGAGATGCAGGGATGGTTCACAACATTCTCTTATAATCCTTTGAATTTCTGAAAAATCAGTGGCAATGTTCTCAAATTCATTTCTTTCTCTTTTTTTTGCCAGCCCCCTTGATTTATTTTTTTATTTTTTGTTGTGGTGTCATTGGTTTATAACATTATATAAATTTCAGGTGCACATCATTATATTTCGATTCCTGTGTAGATTACATCATGTTTTTAGAGTCTAGAGTTCAAAGACTCTGTGAACACACCACTTTCCACCTCCAATTCTCATCCCATTTCTTGTCTCTCACCCCTCACTCTCACACTTCACTTAGGTCAACACTGACTGCTAGAGGTCCGGGGTCTCAGAGCTTCAGAGAAGAGGTTTAAAGATCACCATGCCCAAGAGCTGGTTCTGATAGCGTGCCCCACCTCCTCAAGGCTGATCATTAACCCAGAACTTATATAATGAAAGGGCCATCCCAGGGCTGAAGCAGGCACCTCCTGTAGCCATGGCCAGCACGTTAAGCCCCAGCACCATGACTGGAACCCCAGAGCCACCTGCGATGTCACAGCTCATCCAAAACCCTGCTGACATCTCTGTCATTGTCATCTATTTCGTGGTGGTGATGGCTGTTGGGCTGTGGGTATGTAGGAGACCAATGGGGTGTTTAGGGTGGGCACATGACTTGGGAATAAAACATCTGAGGGAGGGAAAGATGTGGTGTGACAAAGCTGAGAGAGCATTAACAGCTGTCACAGATTTCATTGTCCCTTTCACAGAATCATTTTCTTTTGTGTGACATAAACAAAGCTTATACTGAGTTAATTTATTCTCCTAACAACTCCATCATTTGAACAGAGCGAGCAGTGGGAACTTCAGACTTAAACAGTTCGGGATCACCAGCACCGGGCATAATGAATAAAGGTGTTATTTTTATTATCTTACCTCTTTTATTTTCCTTTGTCATTTGTTCACTTTCTAATTTAGTTGAATTGGATACTTAATTCATTTACATTCACTCTTTTTAGTAATGGGTGTGAGGCTTCAAATTTTCTTCTAAAAACAACATTAATGATTCGTCACATTGTTTTCATAAATGAAAATAAAGAGAAACTAAGACAGAGGTTGAGGAATATTATTTCTTAAAATCCCTGTGCTTCTATGAAACTATGATTTTTGAAGTCCTTTAGAAATTGATGCTATATCACCATTTCCAGGAAAACGTTTTGCCCTGTAGGGCTGCTGGATGAGGTCACTTCCCTCAGCACCTGGCAGAGCCTCTGGAGCATCTTGGGTGCATCTGCTGGGGCTTGACCCTCATATGTCTTCTCTTCTGCTCAGGCGATGCTGAGGACCAACCGGAACACTATTGGAGGCTTCTTCCTGGCTGGGCGAGAAATGGTCTGGTGGACGGTGAGTGGGTCAGAGTTTCCTGAAGATAAATTTCATGGGTGTGTGTGTTTAAGAATAAAGAAAGAAAACATTGGGAATGCTGAGAATTTTTGATGTGCATTGGTTAACTTACCTGCTGGTGTCTCTTTTCCTAAATCCCTGACCTCAGGTCTCTGCCCTGTAGTTTCAATAAATTATAGTGTGTCACTGACTATAAAAGCACGTGTAGTGTGGCACTTAAGGAAACACAGTCCAGCTCTGCTTCATGTTCTTTTTCCTCGGTCCTCATCAAGAATCTTCTGCCTTGGCTCCTTAAGATCCCCCAGCACATTCCTTCCTTGCTCCCAATCCAAAGCTAGTGCTGCTCCTCTTATCTGGATGAGCCTTCTCCTCTCTGCTCTCCTCCTTCAAAACTCAACTCAAGCCCTGCTTCATCTGCACTCCCACCTGAATGTCTAGTCCTCTGCTCTATGCAGTTATGATAGCGGATATGTGTTCCTTGTGGTGATGTGAATGCTGATGACTCTTTGATTCTTGCCCAGTTGGTGTCTTTCTTGCTGGGCTTTAATGCCTGGCCTCCTTGACCAGAGTCATATTGCCGCATAGAACTTCTTCTCTGAACCCATAGTGTCAGCAGTGGGTTGGGTATACAGTGGGTGCTCAGTACATGGTTCCTTCACAGATTTTCTGACTAAATAGTAGGAAGGAAAGTAGAGATCAGGAAATGACCTGGCTAAGGTGATTGAAGCAGACCAACTGCAAGCTCATAATGGATTTTCACTTGGAATGTCCAACCCAACATTGCCTTCTTAGGACTGTTTTTGTGAAACATGCAAGGCTCAATCAATCCTATAGCCACAAATGAAATCAATCCCATCCCCTGGCCCCAAACACCTGGATAGGAAAGGTGATTTTACAGAGGGCTGAAAAGGTGGGAAAAGAAGAAGAGGCACTGCAGGGGTTTCACACCCCAGTGCTGTTCTGTGAGGACTAGTGCTCATCCATGCCCGCTCAAGGGATCTCGCTTGATCTTTGACTTAAGAACAGTAGACAATGTGATCGAGAGGGAGGTGGCTGAGAAGAGGCTCCTCAGGGCCAGAAGGATGAAGAGGAGCTCCCTTCTACCCAACTTTGGGATCCTTGAGGCTGGTTGAAGGGGCCAACAGAGGGTCTGGAAGTTCTTGGCCAAGGACAGGTTCAACCCAGAGCATTCAAATAGGTAGATTAACGTTCTTCTAAGCCAGGAATGAGCAAGCTTTTCTATAAAGTGCCAGACTATAAGTATTTTAGAGTTTATGGGCCATAAAGTTTGTTGCAACCACACAACTCTGCCGTTGTAGCATAGAAGCAGCCACGGTCAATACGTAAAACCAACAAGAATGGCCGTGCGCCAATAAAACTATTTATAGACACTGAAATTTGAATTTCACATCATTTCACATTTCACAAAATATTGTTCTTCTTAAGATTTTTTTTAACCATTCAAAAATATAAAAGACGTTAGCTTACCAACCATACAAACACTGGCAACTGGCTGGATTCCGCCCATAGGCTGTAGTTTGCTGGTACATGCCCTAAGGAGTAGTGACAGAAAATCCCAACATTTATCTGTTTTCAAGAAGTCTGATTTGGGTCTTTTAACTCTGATCCTAGTCTGTCTTCTTGGATTCCAGATGGGCGCCTCTCTCTTCGCCAGTAACATCGGCAGTGGCCAAATTGTGGGGCTGGCTGGGACAGGAGCAGCTTCAGGAATCGCCACTGCAGCATTTGAATGGAATGTAAGTAACATCATAGGCTTTTTTCTTTAAATCAAACTTATATCCAGGTACCTTTTTCTGGGAGTCTGTATAGGATAACTCCTCTTTGGTTCAATTTCTATTTTTCCCTCTCCTAACCCACTCCTTGTTTGAACTTCAGGGCCTTCCCTGTGGCCGCAGTCTGTCTGGGCCAATCCAGTCACATTATTACCCACCTCTGAGATTTTGCTCAAGCAGTTTTCCCATCAGGAAGTTCATTTCCGTACAATTCAATCTCCACTTTCATTTGACATCCTTGATTATTTTAGCTCTCACTTGTATCTCTCCTCCTTGAGTTATTACACTGTGCGTCCAGCTCTGAATTAGGTGCAGGGAATAAAAAGATGTAAAAGCAATGGTCTCTTCTTTTGAAAAGCTTACATCCCAGGGGGAGAGACAGATATGTATTCACTACCAAGTAGAAAGTACAGAGAGAAACATGCATGGATCGTCGCGAGATCTCACAGGAGAGACATCCAGCCTAGATGACGAGTGGGGCTCGGCATGTGTCAAGGGGGCTTCCTGGTGCTGATGCCAGATAGAAGGATAGAAACTGACCAAGAGGAGCCTGATCAAGGAAGTGACAGCAGAATAAGGAGTGACTGGTTTAGAGATAGTAAGTAGAATCTACAAGACTTTGTGAATGGGTTCCTAATTGTTTTATTGCCATTTCACCAGTAGAAGCTATGTCCCCTTAATTAGACTCTAAATTCTTTAAAGACAGGTATGATGTCCTCTCGTGTCACTCACACTGCCCCACCATCTAGCACTTGGCTGAACAGGTGGTGAACGTGCCATAAATATTTCTTGACTTGCCTGAGTTTTTTCTCTTCTTTTCTCTTATCCTTTCTCGTGTTCCCATGTCCATGTATATGCATATCAGTCAGAGGGAGATGCTTGTATGGAAGACAATTGTATCCTAGTGAAAATGTAGGCAGACCATCCCCGGATGGACTCAGAATGTGACCTGAGTCATTACAAATGCCTGCAACTCTTCTTTGTTGAAGATTTTGCCCCTAGTTTTACTTTAATATATCAGGGACTCCAGAATGGACCCAGCCCCCGGATATGCCCTATGGCCTTAGTTTTGCATTGATAGTGTCATGGACTCCAGAATGGAACCAGCCTCTGGAACCACGGACAAAATGCCCTTTGGCCCTAGTGGGTGTGATTACCAGGCTGCCGAGAGCCAGGCTGCTCCTCTTTTCACCTGTGAACTTGGGCTTCCTTAATCTCTATGAGGTTCAAGTTCCCCCTCCATAAGATAAGAATCACTATGCTTATCATGTCTGCCTCACCCGTGACAGCAGCACAGATGATATATGTGAAGTCTCTTTGTAAACATTGCATATCAATGCAAGATTATATGATTATCATTATCATATGTGGCAAGACTTGGGGGGCACTGAGAGTAGTCTTCTATCTCCAAATTTCTTGTTTATCGCTTTGTCACTCTGTATACAATTCCTGCCGTTCAGGGATAATTCCTTTTGGCAAAGACTGTGTGACCTTCCAGTGGTCCAGCTGGGCTCAGATCTCTTCTGTCCATTTTTCACCACACATCTTTTGTCACATCTAAGCCCCAGGAAACCGTGGCCTCTGAATCATGGAAACAAGACAGGAATCCACAGCTGTCTCAGCATCCTAATTGGTTGAGTGGGACAGAATTCAAGCAAACATATTTTATTTTCAGACTCAGATGTCATGAGGTGATAAGGCCCACAAGCCAAGCCTGTTTCACTTTATACTCTTTTCTCGGTTTCTCCTAGGCCTCACTGCTGTTACTGGCTCTAGGGTGGTTCTTTGTCCCCATATACATCAAGGCAGAGGTAAGTATCTGCAGATGTTCTCAACACACCTGTCAGGCATTCATTTATTTACTCATTCTTTCTGCCCAATCCTGAAACCTGGGTAACAGCATTTGTCGCAGAATTTCTGGGCTTACATTTACAGAAATACACAAAGTGCAGCCAGATTGCTCTTGAAAATGGCTGCAATCAGCTGTCCTCCTGCAGGTCACTATTGTGAGGGTTCCCATTTTCCCACATCCTCACCAACACATCGTATTCTCCTTCATTCTACTCTTGGCCATTCCGACATTTGTAAAGTGGTTTCATTTTTTAAGTAGGGGTAGGATACACCACAGCTATGGCGGCCCCTCTTCAACCTGGGTGCTGCCAACTGACTGGTTGTCAACCGACTGTTCTGCCTCTCTGAGCCTAGCTCCTACATTTATTCCTTCTGCTGCTGGCGCTCTGACCATGGGGTGCTATATCTTGGGAGAACTCCTGGGATGAGGGTGCTCACAGGCCCAGCCTTCTGGCTAGTACCTCTGCAGGTCGCCATATAATTCTCCTTTGCTCGTCCTGGGTCCCGTCTAGTTCTAGGCTTAAACAAGCTCTGTTGAAGGATGCTGTACTTAGTGCAAGCACCTCGACACAGAACTTATGCATGTGTTCTTGGATGTGGCTTCCATCTTTGAGGGGGTTCCACACAGTTTCTGAGCCACCAAGAGTTCCTCTTCTTGTTTTTGATAATATCATATGAATAATTATTTAACATTCTTTTATACTGGCGGAGATTAAATCATGAACTCCATCTGCTAGGAAGAAACCAGAAAGCTGCACTTTTTATGCTACATATCACATAGTTGACCTCCTATTTTTCTGTAAGTAGGGAATTAGTGCCACGTTCTTCCTTTTAATAAAGATAATCCTATAAATACATACCCAAACGCATATTTGCAATTTATTTGATTATCAACTTATTATGTAACCACAACTGTGGTTCATTATTTACAAGTAATATTTTTTTACTAGACTGCAATATTATTGGTGAAAATAATAACAATTATTTGCTGAGTGTTTGCCATGCATTTAGTGTTGTTGTAGGCGTTTTACATCTACCTTCATATTAAACCCCATTTCACAGATGAGAAAAATGGAGGTTCGGAGAGATTGCCCTTTGCCAAAGGTCACACTTCTAGTAGATGTTGACTCTGTGAACAAATCCCAAAAATTCTGATTCCAACACCTGTGTTCATTCCAACCTTTCTGCTCTCCCAAGAGACTGTGCCTTTCTCATCTCTGTGTTTCCAAGGTGCCACGTACAGTCACCTGCCCACAGGTGCTTAGTAAATGTTGAATAATCTGAATGTGCTGGGCTCTGAAAGTGGATCCCTGTTGCCGTCTGTCTCTGCAGGTGATGACCATGCCGGAGTATCTGAAGAAGCGGTTTGGTGGGGAGCGGCTCCAGATCTACCTCTCTGTCCTCTCCCTCTTCATCATTGTCGTCTTGAGAATCTCAGTGAGTTCAGTGCTCCTGGCATTTTAGCTTCATGAGATTGCTTGGATGGGGCTAGAGCGCTAAGAGCAGAGAACTGGGTGTGTAGATATTGACAGTCTTTATGTGTCAAGCCATATGGATGTCTTGAACTACCTGGGCTGTCTCTACCGAGTTTTTATGGAAAAAAGGAGCATCAGAGACCATGCATCTCTAGAGTAGAAGAATTACAAGTCATAAGGGGTTCAAGAGTATAAACCTACACTTTCATTAAAGAAATGAAAAAAATGGATGTACAGAAAGAACAAAATGTCTCACTCAAGTAACACAGCTATTTGTAGTAGAAAATCGAGAATTCTCTAGTCTCCTGCCTTTCCACTGCACAGTAACCACCAGTCTAGGGTTATATCTTCATTTTCAGCTTGATTTTCTGACATGTGAGACAGGAGGAAAGTGCTTTGTATGATTATACTGACTTGTCTTTATTTCATCTAAGACCACTCCTATAAAACAGATGTTGCAGGTAAGTGTTAAAAGAATTCTAAAGCCTTTTAAAAGTTAAATTCCTTGGAGCTAATCATTGAGAAAAGAAGAAACGGATTTGAAGATTCAGCAGCATGTGTAGAAAACAAAGAAAGAGGGACTCACTTACTCCTCACGTATTGGTGACTAATGAAATAATCTCCCACAAGTTTATGGCCCAGGCAGTTCATGAGAGAAAATTAACCCTCATTATTGCTCTTCTGTTGAGCTGAGTTGTTGCTGGAAGTAAACCAGCTGCTTAGATTAGATGACATGAGCCTTCCTAACGCAACGTGAGCATTTCCCAGCACTCAGTGTATTTTGTTGAGCTCCGTGCTGGTGGTAATAAAGATTCCAATGTGCTAGATGTTCACCATATGGTTAAAGATATAAGAATTTTAAAAATAAAAACATTTAACATTTTATGACAACATATGCAAATATATATATTAAAATGCAGACTTTAATAGAGTGTGTGGACAAGTACGGGAGACATGCTATCGACACGCAGGAAATGAGGTGGTCCCAGCTGAGTGGAATTATTGGAGATTCTCCCCATTGCCGGGGGCGGGAGGAGGAGGGCAGGTGTAGCCTGCAGGTGTCCGGGGCTTAGCACGTGCATGTTCCATAAGTGGGCAGGACTCCGTGATCTTTTAGTTCTCTTCTGGCTCTGACATCTAGAGATCTATGGTCCTAAAGAGCATAAACAGGGAACAGGAGGAGAATGATAGTGGCCAAAGGGCCCCCTAGGGATGGAGCCTCCAGGAGTGGAAGGTTCCTGGTAGTGGGGAGGGGATGGAATGTTGGAGAGCTGAATGGAGGACCCAGAGCATGTGTGTGACTGTGCAGGGTGTGAGGTCAGCTGGAAACATACAGAGGTAGGAGTCCATTTTTACCTACAAAGTTATGATTTAAGTGATAATACAGACGGTCTCCAACTTACAATGATTCAACTTAAGATTTTTAAAGTTTACGATGGTGCAAAAGTGATATGCATTCAGTAGAAATTATACTTTGAATTTTGAATTTTGACCTTTTCCTGAACTAGCAATACACAGTGGGATAATTTCTTGTGATGCTGGGCAGTGGCAGCGAACCACAGCTCCCAGTCAGTCACATGATTGCGAGGGCAAACTACCAATACACTTACAATTATTCTGTACCCATACAACCATTCTGTTGTTCACTTTCAATACACTGTTCAATAAATCACCTGAGATATTCAACACTTAATTATAAAATAAACATTGTGTTAGATATTTTGCCCAACAGTAGGCTAAAGTAAGTGTTCTGAGCACGTTTATGGTAGGCTAGGCTAAACTATGATGTTTGGTAGGTTAGGTATATTGAATGCATTTTCAACTTACAGTATTTTCAACTTATGATGGGTTTATCATGATGTAACGCCATCGTAAGTCAAGGAAGATCTGTAATAATTAATCTTGGGCACGACCTTTTGTGTACTACTACACTCTGATAACAGATTCTGTCCTGGTTACTTATTAAATAGATCATTATGAGGAGTTGGACAGAACAGCTTTCACAGACCTCCCCTGCCCCAGGTTTGAGAAAATTCACCTTGTTCACTGGTTCTCAACCTCTGATAATACACATACAGACATGCACCAAATAATGACGTTTTGGTCAAAGATGGACCACATATGACGGTGGTCTCATAAGATTAGTACCAATAGCCTAGGTGTGTAGTAGGCTTCACCATCTAGGTTTGTGTAAGTACACTTTACGATATTCGCACGAGGACGAAATCACCTAACAATGCATTTCTCAGAACATATCCCCATTGTTAAGTGTCATGTGATTGTATTGAGAATCATTGCAGACATGACATACATTTACCCCTAAATGTTTCAGTCTGTGTGCCTTAAAGACATCGAAAACCACACTGCAAATTTTAAAATCAGGAAATTAACTTTGATACAAACTATTATGTAATTTACAGACCTTGTTCGGATATTGACTGTTGTCCTAATAATGTCCTTTAATAGCAAAAGAAAATCCTGGATCATACAGTGCCTCTTTTTAATGAGAAATATTTTATAGTCATTGTAAATGTAATTAATTCCATTGAATTGTACACATTAAAATGGCAAATTTTATTTGTACATATTTTACCACAATAAAAAATCATTGGCAATATAACCTACTTACATATAATTTCAAAACCATCAATTTAATGCTTTAATTGTACGATATAAGAGAAACAAAAGTCAAGGAATTCATAATATGATAATGTGTGTTTTAACAAGTAAATGATTAGGCATTAATACACAAGTCCTAATACTGTGGTTAAATACTTACCTTCCCCCTCCATGAGGATCAGTATGAATCTGACAACTATAAATGCAGACAGACACAGATATGTTTTATGGCAACTCAAATAGAGTAAGTGGCATCACAGTAGGTGATATCTTTTCTGAAATGGCAACAATTTTTTTGTTAATATCCAATTTTGTAAAAAGTACAATCTTCTTACAATTTACACGGTTGTTGCATTCCTTGAAAACCCAGCGACAACAAAGTTGCAGACAGTACTTTGTGTTTGTAACTCAGAGTTAGTTTCTAGGCTCAGATAATCAAGAACAGGCTTTTCACTAACACGAATGTCTGGTGAGATGACAAAACAATAGGTTTTATTTCAAATCTTAGGGGGAAAAAGCAATCATCTCCGGCGACACCATTTCCAAACTCCAGTTCTACAAAGAAATCTACCTCTAATTCTTCTGATTCTGAATCCTGCCACCTTATCCCTCTTCCTCACCTCACTCATGCTTTCCTTTCCCTTAGATTCCATGATTATCCTCATAATCACCCTTCAGCACATAGACGCCATTCTTTGTCTATCTCCCCTTTCACTGAACTCCCTTTGCAAAACTCCAACCTTGGTTGAATCCAGCTTCCAACTTACTCTGTGCTACACCTGGGGATTTTACTTCTGTGTTTCTAACATGCTTATAGGCTATTTTTCAGACAATTTTTGTGGGTTGTTTTGTTTGTTTGTTTGTTTGTTTTTTTATGTGGAGCCTGGGAGGATCAGAGTTGAAGGGGCAGATTCAAGTGGGACTACTACAAGTTTGTGTTCAAGTAAGGTCAGGGCAGCTGGGAGCACACTTTGGGGGTACAAGTGTTCAGGCAGAGCTAGGTAGATTTGAGAGCCCTCTGCCAGGCTCTAAACCCCAACCAACAATCCTTTCGCCTGTTTCTTATAATTTTTACCCTTGTCGTCTTGGTGACTATTCTAAACTATCCACAACTTCTTTACCTCCTGGACCTCTGCCTCTTATCAGAAAACCTCACCTCCTACTTTATACAGAAAATCTAGCCATGAACCACACATCCCTCCACCCACCCAAAAAAATCTACTTTTGCCTCATTTTTTCCTTCTTCCCCCAGCTCTGAGGATGAAGAGTCTTCCTTTTCATCAAAGGTCAACCACTCAACCTGTCCTACTCTTGATCCCATCTCTTCTCAATGTCTCTGGCTACTTGCTTCATAATTACTCCCCACCATCATCTGTTACTTCTTGCTTTCTACTACCCCCAAACGTGATCAAGTATCTTCCTTCATAACAATAACCATTGCTTTACTCTGTCTACCTACTGCTCTATTTTTTTTTTATTGTTCTCTCTCTGCTGACAGTCATGAAAGAGCAATCTTGTGTAGATATTGCTCACTTTCTGTTCACTCACTCACCATTCCTCTGTATGATCAGTCCAATAACTGATCCTCTGGGGATGAGATCTGGCTTCCAAGGACTTCATAACTGGATAGCAGGGATGACATATGAAACTATAGTAATCAATGAAGAGCTCAGCAATGTAGTGCAGACTCAATGCTGGGGAAAATTTAGCAGGAAGTACCTCACTCCCCACTGAAGAGTCTACAGCCAGAGTTCTTGGACACAGGCTCAGTCGGACGGAGGGTTTGGATGGAGGGACAATCTAGATGTGGAAACTACAGGTGCAAAGACCCAGAGTTAGAACTGACATGGCATTTTGAAACGTTAAGTCAAAACTGTTGTGTGGACTAAAGCATGTTGTAAGTGTTGATGTGGTTGTGTTGTCCTCCCATGATTGGACCTGTAGATGCTTTCTTTCTTCACAAGTCTTGGACCTCAGCGTAGGGTTGAAAGCCAGGGTCCTAGGCAGCAGCTGGTAGAAATTCACCTAGTCCATCATCCTTTGTCAATATTAGAATTCTAACTCTACATAACTATACAAAGGGATCCTAAAATTGATTTGGCCCAAACACTTCTTTTTACAGCTGATCAAGTTGGAACCCAGTGAGGAGAAATTATTTATCTGAGCTTACACCATGAATTAGTGTCAAAGCCAGCACACAGCCCAGTTTTCCTATCCATCAGTATGGAATCTTTATTTTTGTGTGGGTAGTAGTATATGCAACATAAAAGTGCCCAAAACATAAATGAATAGGTCAATCGCTTATCACAAAATTAATGCCCATATAATCAAGAAGTCCCTCTGATGATTCATTATAAACACTACTCCCTCCTTCCCTTAAAAACAGCTACCACCCTAATTTCTAACACTTCAATTTAGTTTTGCCTCTTGAATTTTACATAATTGTGACCAAGCAGTATGTATTCTTTTGTTTCTGGCCTCTTTTTGATCAACATTATATTTGTAAGATTCATTCATATTTTTGATGAAGTTACTCATTTTCATTGTTAGAAAGTATTGCATTGTATGAGTATACCAACTTTATTTATTCTACTGTTGATGAACAAACGTGGTTTCTACTTTTTAGCTATTATGAATAGTGCTGCTGTGAACATTTGGTGTGTGTCTCTTAGTGCCCTTGAACATGCATTTCTGTGTGCTCCAGGAGTCTAATTGCTTGGTCATATGGTAAACATCTATTTGACATTAGTGGATAACCCAAAACATGTTTTCAAAGCATTTAAATTTACATTCTCACCAGCAGCATTAAAGGTCATATTGCTTAATCTACCTGTCAACATTTGTGTTGTCTGCATACTTTCAAATTTTAGGCATTCTATAAGCTTGTGTTGATGTCTCATCACAGCTTTAATTTGCGTTTCCTTCTATTTCCAATGAGATGGAGCATCGTTACAAGAAGCTCAGGTGTTTATTGACCATTTGGCTATATTCTTTAGAAACGCCTATTCAGTTTCATGTTCATTTTTAAATCGAGTTGTCTTGTCTCTTTCTTATTCTTTTGTAAGAGTGTTGGCCCTTAGTGGGTTATATCTTCTCCAAATACGTGGCTTGTCTTAGGGTAAACAGAAGTTCCTAATTTTGATGTAATCAACTTTAGCAATCTTTTCTTTTTGGTTGATGCCTTTTGTGTAAGAAATCTTTCCCTATCCCAAGGGTAAGAAGAAATTCTACTATAATAACCTCTGTTCTTTGTTCTTCCTTCTTCTCCCCTCTCCTGTCTTCCCCCTTCTCTCTCCTCTCCTCCTCTCTTCTTTTTTCTTTCTCCTCCTCTTCCTTCTTCTTCTCCCCCTCTCTCCCTTTCTCTCTCTCACATTTTTAAATGATTTGAGATTGTTACATATATCAATGCCCTTTATCCCCAAATAATTCCATATAAATTTCCCCTAGATTTAACATTCATTGATGATTCTAGAATCATTGGCGGTTCTATTCAATGATTTTTACCTCACCCAATCTTTACTATGACAGTTGCAAAATGATGGTTTTCCAATTCTAGCACTCCCTTTATATTCCTATTCTTAGAAAGAGGAATAGTCTCTTTCAAAACCACAGTAAAATCATCAACTTCACTAAATGTAACATTGATACAATAGTTTTATTGTCTACTATTTAAATTCCAATTTTTTCCATTGACATAGTAATGTTCTTTTTAGCATCTTCACTTTTCCAGTAGAGAATGCAGTCTCGGGTCTGGTATTACATTTAGTTGTCAAGTGTCCTTAGCTTCCTTTATTCTGGAACAAACCCATAGCCTTTTTTTATCTTTGATGACACTGATATTTTTGAAGAATAGAGGTCCTCCTCCATCATTCTTAATATAGAAATCTTAATTTTGGATTTGTCTAATATTTCCTGATGGTTGGATTCAGGTTTTGCATTCTTGGCTGGGATACTATGTAAGTGATACTGTGTCCTACTCAAGATATCCTATCTGGAGACATTCAATGTCCATCTGTTCCTCAGTGGTGATGTTGATTTTGACCACCTGGTCAAAGTTTTCCCAAATTTCTCCACTGTATAATTATGTGTTTATTCCCCCCTGGAACTAATAAGCAGTCTGTGATGAAATACTTCAAACCATGCAAATATCCTATTCCTCTTTAAAATTTACCACTATACTTAGCATTCATAGATGATTCTTACCTGATCCAATCCTTACTATAATGGCTGCCAAATAATGACTTTCCAACTCAACACTCCCTCCATAGTTACCAGTCAGCATTCAGCATGTTTCTAAAGGCAAGAGCCTTTCCTTCTCTATCTACCTACCTATCTACCTATCTATCTATTTATCTATTACTGACATGGACTCATAAATTCATATTTATCACTGGTTTACAAATGGTTATTGTATGTAATCATATTGATGCTCATATTACACCAGATTGGGCTGGCAGAAACTCCTCAAACTGTTTCCTATGTAAAGAATGTGACATGCCGTCATCATTTTCTTGAGCGATTCCTTAAACTCTAGCATAACGAAATGTTCCAGACTCATGTTGTACCAACCCTGCTCTTGCCCTGGAATCATCTATTTTGGCGGTGGGGGGGGGGGGGATTTTAGAGACCAAAATCTGGGTGATAAGTGTGTTCATCGAGTTGTCTTTGTTTCTTAGCTCCTTGAGCAAACAGAACTAGGAAATATATACATATATGCACACACATACATGCACACATACATATATGCATGTGTATATAATTGTAGGAAAATTAAAATGAACAAGTAATTGTGAAAATCTTCATCAGCAAACAAGAATATTGATTTTAAGAATACATGGAAAAAATGCTCCACCATAGCCAAGAGTGTTCCTATAAGCAATTACTCAGCCTCTTTAAGCCTCTTGGTACAGGAAAAGGTCTCAGGCATGCTGCCTCAACTCAGCAATGAACTAACCACCATCACGATATAGAAGAGAGAGTGAAATTGCTGTTTGAGGCTCTATGGAAGATATTGCTGTGAGGACATCTAAGTGGAATCTTGAAGGATGAGTGGAGGATTACCAGGAAAAGAAGTTGGGGAGGGGTTAACATTGGAGCAGAGAAAATAGAGGCCTGAAGTACATGTTTCTTTTCCATCCTGACTGTTCCCTTTTTAGTCAGACATGTTTTCTGGAGCCATATTCATCAAATTGGCCTTGGGACTGGACCTTTATCTGGCCATCTTCATCCTCTTGGTTGTCACTGCTATTTACACAATCACTGGTGAGTCCATTGCATGTCTAGCTCAGTCATGCTATCTTCTGCTGATCTCACCCCAATCTGCAGTTAGCAACTTCCGAGTTAGCCCTGTCACCACCAAGGTAAGGGTAGCCTTTTATTGCCACTATGAGAGTCACGCACAGGCCCAGAAATACAACTAAAGTGAAGAATCTCCAGAATTAGGTGTAAGCACCTTGATTGAGGATAACAATATGGTGGATGGAATAGGAAAATGGTGGTTTGGCTCAGCTATGTGTTCAGCACCCAGATTGGCATTTGGAATCCAGCATATCATATACATGGAAGGTCAAGATGAAAGAGCAGCTCAGACATGAGAATACACCAAATAAATACATGATGCCAGGGCATGGTAGTGGGCTATGGCAGAATCAGGAAAGAAGAACTGGAGCAGTGAGTTGGTTTTGGGGAAAGGGTATGTGGTAATAGTTCAAGCAGGCTTTCATAAACCACGTACATTGATATAGTATCTCATGCGTACTAACTTATGAAAAATTAATTGTGAAAAATTAAACTATACCAGCTCAGTTGGAAAAATAAAGAAAATAACAGCTGGAACAATCAAGACAGTTCTGGAGCCATTTTCAAACACCGAGCATGTGTTTCAGAGTAAGTGAGAGAGGAGGGCATGAATCTTCTGTTTTCAGGATCAGTCTTGTCTCCCCAAGACACTGTCACAAAAGAAATATCTTATTGACTAAGAGTCTAATGAGTCTAGAGTTGAAAGAGAAGTTGTTTTTTGTCAAAAATTGCAGCAAAACACAAGTCAAAAACTCTAGCTGGTATTCATCTAATGAAACCGATATCTAGGTTCCAACACTCGAGCAAAAATGGCTTTGCTCAATTTTTTGAAAGCAAGAAGATTGGGCTAAGTGAAGTGAATTGAGGGATTGTTGAAGGAAATTTTCACAATATTAAAACTTTGCCTTTTCCCTTATTTAATACTCAAAAACTTACACAAAGATGGAACTCCACAATAATTCATAGAAACTTTGAGTCAAGGCAAGGCAAGGGAGACAGGAGGATCAATGAGAGACATAATGACTGAGGAGATAAGGATGCCCAGAGGAGCTTGTGGTCCAATCAGCTTTTGATATGTTTTCAGCTGAGTCGTTTCTAGGGTTTGGGTGGAAGATAACCAGAGGTGAAAGCAAATGGATGAGCACACATGGATAAAATGTCCTGGTTCTTTTCTTTCTCTTCACAGGCGGCTTGGCCTCGGTTATTTACACAGACACCCTCCAGACCATCATCATGCTGATAGGTTCTTTTATTCTCATGGGGTTTGGTAAGTTAGAACAGCGTGAGTGGTGCCCTGGGACCAGAAATCATGGGACTTGTGTCTGCTCCGTTTGCTCTTTACTGCTGCCTCCCAGTTCTATCTGGTCACATTTTCCAATCATTTACCTGATTCACATCAGTGAAATGCCTTCCTGACTTCTTTTCTGCTGTGCTATCTCAGCATAAGGAAATGAGGGAGAAGAACTTTACTTCCTTTAAAAAATTATTGCTCAGATAAGTTATCTGTTTAATTTTAACATCTTTGTGTTCATAATGAACAAAAGGAGTATCATTTCATTGATAATTTTTCAAAAATATTGGTACATTGGATTCAATGCACAGAAACCCTTCACTTATATAGAATCTTCATAAAATGAAGGATTAAATATTAGGGAAACTTTAGATAACTAAATATTAACTTCATTATGACTGTTTCTGATGGAAATTATTGAAGTACATTACTTACTCTATTGTTAGAATACACAAACACAGATTTGATTTTCCTTTATGATTCTTGCTTATTAGTATCATCAGTCAGTTCATTCTCTTGAGTAAGTTGTACCAGCAAGCAGTATTGATGAATCTAATTTACAGTTTGTTGATTTTTGTTTTCTTTTATTGTGGTATTTGTTCATCTTTGCATAGGAAATCCATGCACACAGTAAAAAGGATATAGGGTGAAAATAGATGTCTTTTCATCCCTCCCATGTCTTGCAGCCACCATGTTCCACCCACTCAAGCTGCACCGTATACAACAATTCTGAATATGCATGACCTAAATCACAGAGCTTGAAGATACATGAGGCAAAAACTGATAGAACTGCAAAGACAACAAATTCACGATGATAGTTGGTGATTTTGACACAATATGGATGCCATTAGCCACATATGGCTATTTAAATTTAAATTAATTCAAATTAAAAATTCAGTTTCTCATTTGCCTAAACATATTTCAAGTGCTATCAATATATGGCTAGTGGTTGCCATATTGGACAGGACGGATATAGAACAATTCCATCATTGCGGAAAGTTCTATTGCACAGTGCTGCTCCAGAGGCAACTCCTAGTACCAACTCCTTGTGAACTTTCTGTTTAGTTAGCCAGAACTTCTGTGCTATTCTTCTTCATGGTTCTTTGGTTTCTGGCCTCAGTGATGCATTCTCTGGCATCAGCCTCTCTAAATGCCACTTCTCCCATCCTTAGGAAAGGACTCTCATCTCCTAGGTCCCCATGTATTTTTGTCACAAATCATATTCCCCTTATCAGAACAATTTCCTTTTATCATCTGTATCCTCCACTAGATTGAGTTCCTGCTTTGCATATTCATTTTGCACATAATACCAGCACCATGTTTGGCACATACAAAAATGTGGGTGTTCAATAAATTAATGTCAACTTCAACTCTACAAATACATGATGCTCTGATGATTTTGCATCATTTGAACTTATACTAAGTGGCCCCATGTGCCTGGGTTCATCTTTCTAGGGTTTCCACCCATTATGGCTCTTTTCTATACCTGACTAGCCTTTCCAGACCCCCAGTGGGCTGATTCTCACCATTTCCCCTCACCACACATATTATTCTGTCCTCAGTTTCTGCTTCTCATCTTCCCATTTTTTTTATTGTAACTTAAGTAGAATACAGTATTGCACCAGACAACCACACTGTGCATAAGGTCATACTAGCCAGGCTCTGTGTCAAGAAGAGAAGTCATTGCTTCTTGGCCCTTTGAGAGGAGTTGGGGTTTCCTGATGGCTAATTCTGTTAGGATCACTCTGTTGGCCCTTGTCCAGGTTTATGTCTGCTCTAGATGGTTGATATTGATGGTCAGACATCAATATCAGTCTGTTGGATAACAGTCTTATTTTTACCATATGGCTAGACACTAAATCAAAATTTTCAAGAGCACTATAAGAAAAAAAGCTAAAGGGTGATATGCTTTATGTGCTTTGTGAAAGTAAATCTGATATCATAGCCAATGCCATTGGAAGTACTGGAAAGACATGGATCCTGGGAGAAGGACCCTGAGGGTTTGACCAGGCTGATTGGAGGTGCTTGGGTACCTCCACCACAAAGGAATAATTATGAACACCGGGTGTTTTAGATGTCTGCAAAACATTTCATTTTATCCACTGGCTTTTCAGCATTTGCCGAAGTTGGAGGATACCAGAGTTTTGCAGAGAAGTACATGAATGCCATCCCGTCCGCAGTCGAGGGGGACAACCTGACAATCAGTCCCACGTGCTATACTCCTAAAGCAGACTCCTTCCACATTTTCCGAGATGCTGTCACTGGGGATATTCCATGGCCAGGAACCGTACTTGGAATGAACCTCGTAGCTGCGTGGTACTGGTGCTCAGATCAGGTGAAGTGTGTTTGTGGCATGTGGCTATGCTTATCCTGTTCTTTTTCTTCTCATAGAAAAGCATATATACACATATACACACGTATCATTTAAAAAGTCAAATACTTCTACAAGACTTGTTATGAAAAACAGCTGTCTGCTTTCTGGCTCTCCACCTTATTTCACTTTCAGCTCTTTCAGTTAACTATTTTGGTGTGTATTTCTATTCTCTAAATCCTTGTACTCAAAATGTGGTCTGTGAACCATCAGCATGGATATCACTTGGAGCTCATTAGAAATAAACACTATCAGATTCTACCCCGACCCAATGAATCACAGTTTGCGTATAGATTTGATCCCCAGGTGATCCAAACAAATACTTGTATTCTCCCTTTTGGGTTTTCCAGATTTAGGATTTTTCTATTGGCTTTCCACAATGAGAAATGAGGGTTTAGCTCTTTCAACTTTCCACCCTCAATTCTACAGAAGCACATCTCCTGCTTCCTAGCCTCCCAATAGATCTAATTTACAATTTTGATGAGATCGGCTTTTTTTTTTTTTTTTGAGGAAGATTGGCCCTGAGATAACGTCTGTGCTCATCTTCCTCTGTTTTATATGTGGGATGCCTGCCACAGCATAGCTTAATAAGCAGTGTGTAGGTCCACGCCTGGGATCCAAACCAGCAACCCCCGGGCCACTGAAGAGGACCACACAAACAACTGCTATACCACCGGCCAGCCCTGAGATCAGGTTTTGATGCTACCATTTTTGTGACTACATAAATGTGATTCACGGCTAAGCCACATGATATTCTTTGATTGATTTTTCTTTAGCTTTTTCTTTTCTCTCAAATTAATAATTCTTAATTTTTTTGCTTTAAATTTTCTTTGTAATTATTACTCATCAAATGCCAAACCCTCTGCAAATTGCCTATGTCTCTTCTCAATACTTGCAAATACATCAAGTATTCTACCAACTCTTTTCCTCATTTCTTCTCAGAACCTTTGGCCTCTCACAATATGTCAGGTTGCCCTGTATGCTTGGTGCCCACCCTCATCCAGGACCCCCTTCATTACCATATTTGGGATTCCCTTTGCCTCATTCTTGGGTTATATCTCTTATTTCCAGTATCCCACAGCACCTTCTTTCTTGGTTTACTCCTTCTTTCAGGACAATTGAATTTTCCAGGAAGTTCTTAAGAAGATAGAAGATAAATTTATTGCGAATTTGCATGTTTGAAAATGGCTTCACTCCAACTTTTCCTAAACTGATCCTTTGGCTATGTACACATTTCTAGGTTGGAAATAATTTTCCCAAAGCCATAGATTCATTGTTTTCTGACTTCCACTATTAATGTTGAGAAACCTGAAGTTATTCTTAATTCTTTGGATGTGACCTGTCTTTCCTCTCTAGAAGCTTGTCTTTCTTTTGTCCTCAGTGTTCTGAAATTTCACCACAATGTACAATTGTGTGTGGATCTATTTTTGTCCATTGTTATGAGCCTCTGTGAACCTGTTTAATCCAATGATGGATGTCTTGAACGATTTGAGGGGCTACTTTCTTTGATTTCTTCCATTTTTTTTTCCTTTGGGGACCTGCTATTTTGAATTGATGGTCTTCCTCAGCTGGTTCTCTAGTGTTTCTATCTTTTCTTCTCATCTTCCATCTCTTGGTCTTTTGTTCCACCTTCTGGGAGCCTTCCTTGACTTTATCCTTCAGTTTTTCTGCCTTTGTAGCTATAACTTCCAAGATCTTTTTTTTTCTGGATCTTCCTTTATATAGTGTTTGAGTTTGTTTTTGTTTTGTTTTATGATGCTTTTTTTCTCCCTAAATAGTTTCCATCAACCCAAACTTATAATTTCAAAATTTTAACCCATCTTGACTCAATGGTCACTTATGATGTTAATGTGGGATCCAGTTTTCCTCTTCTCTGCATAATAAATTGATTTTTTCAACATATCTACCAAAGAATGCATCCTTTCATCATTGATTTGTGGAACTATCTTTATTATTTATAGTTTGCCTCTGACTACCTGACTTGCCTTGTGTAAGTGGCCCCACATTAACCCTTAGATCTGATGGCAGAACCTGCTTGTCTGCTGACAGAACTCCCCTCCTCACCTGTGATTTATATTGTCCCTCCAACTGTCTGCTTCTATCCCTCTGTCTAAAAATGTCACCTGCTCCCCCAGCACTGAATGACACTGCTGCTATCCCTCATAGATTTGTCCCTCCAAAGAGAATTAAGCAGAAAAAGCCATCCCTATTTTCTGACAGTCTTTCAGAAGAAAAATATTAGGAAGCTATAGCATTATGGGTAGAAATCCTGCTTTGCTAGAAAATTCTTAGTCAAGAAATTGCACAACTTAATAGAAATTATGAAATTGTATGCATTCATTTTCCCAGGACCATCATATTTGATTCATAGCTCAATGAGGTCCTCAGAATATTTTGAAGAAATCTAGAGATGAATGTGTCAGAGTTCTATTTTGATGGCTGCCTGACTATGGTGTTTCCATGGCAGTGGGCCTGATTTCCCAGGGGTCAATTGCCCCACAACAATAGAGAGATACTGATGAGTATGTGGCTTATTCAGTGCCTACAATATTAAAAATGTAACTTAAACACACAACTTGTGGCAAAGATCAGTAGTGACAGCTTTGTACCTGGAGGAGCACATGGCCGTTGCTGCAATGCAGCCTGGGAGCTGTAAACATATTTTAACAGTAGTGATGAGTATTGACTTCTATGTACCAAGAATCTTACAAACATTAAACTTGATATTCAGAATCTCCTACAAGGGATAACCCTATATAGAGATGAGAAAACTGAGACTCACAGAAGTCAAATACTCACGTGAGAGGAGCGGGGACTTGAGTCCTGATTTTATCCTGAAGCCCATTATTTCCCACTAGCCGTGACCCCATTTCTTATTGTAACCTTAATCCCTGAAAAGAGGCACTCCCCTTCTTTGAAGTCATCCTCTGGTTGTTTCACGACTGTGTTGTGTTTTCTCGGCAGGTTATTGTACAGCGCTGCCTATCAGGCAAGAACATGTCTCACGTGAAGGCCTCCTGCATCATGTGTGGTTACCTGAAGCTGCTGCCCATGTTCCTCATGGTGATGCCAGGGATGATCAGCCGCATTCTGTACACAGGCAAGTCCTGAAGCCACTGATAAACCCTCTTTTCTTTTTATGCTTGAATTCTGAGAAGTGATTTTAAGATGTATTAAAACTTTGATAAACTAGAGAACATATGGAAGTAAAAACAGAATTCCAGGTGGAGAGAACAGCTTGTGCAAGGGGTCAGAAACAGGAAAATTTGGAATATTTGACACTCTGTTCCTTTATCTCTTTTATACTATGTGCCTGTCACCTTGTAGGCATTTGAGTCTGTGAGTCCTATTTTCATGAGTGGCTTAGATTTAAGCAAGTCTAGACAATAATTCAGAAGGGCACTGGAGGGTGAGGTAGAACTTTTAGAAAATATGAGTTAGGTGAGGTGGTGGTTGTTTGGTGACCTCTCTGACTGAGAAGGTCTTTGAGATGCGCTGTCACTTCTTGGTCCCTATGAGACCGTTGAAGAATTGCACCAACCTCACTGCTTTGGAACTGAGTTGTTTGGGGCAATTGAATTTCTGAGTCAGCTGAAAGTAACTACTAACGTTGAAAATCTTCCAAAAATACCAACTTTCTTCCTTTCTTTCTTTATTATGATGAATGAAGGAAATATAACCAAATATTTTCCTTCATTGGCTAATGGTGGCCTCTGGTTTTTATTGGGGCAATCCATCAGATAACACTGAATCTACTTCATGTTTTCTCAACTAAGAATCAGTTTAATTGGCTGAAATCTTGTTAAGATGAACATCAAGTGACCAACCTCACTTCTTATTGCAACATTGTAGTATTGTTGATAGCAGTAAAGAATGTATAGATATCCAACAATAGGGAATGACTAAAGAAATTATTGTTTACCCTCTTTATGGAAAATTGCACACAGGAGACCGAAGATTCTCAAAACTTGGGAAAATGCTGAAGTTATTATGTTAAATGTAAAAATAACACTACAAAATATTATCTTAATAGTTACCACAGTTATGCAAAAAAGACATTTCCCTGTAGAAAAGGATTAGAAAGGAATGAAAAAAACTAAAGGAAGCTAATGTGCTAATGTGTTAGTATTCTGGGTGATTTTTTTATCAGTTTTTTCTGTCTGTTCTCATAATCTTATTTAAGCAAAATAATCACCAAAGTATTGTGCAACTGCCACAATGAAGTGAGACATCATCTCACAGGGGCAATCACCCCAGTGACCATCACAAGTGACATCTCTTCTTAGATGTAGGTGGAAAACACTGGGCTACATGCGACTGGACACAGAACTGACTTGCTGGGTAGGGGTGATATTTTATCTCTGGAGTTCTGTGCTCCTGGGAAGATTTATGCTTGTGCAGCTTTTCTGGAAGATGGAATCAGCTCCCTCTGTTTGCCCCAGTGCTCTAGCTGGACCACGTCCCAAGGAAGAACCCTGCCCCTTAGGTCAGTGCAAGAGGGATCACAGGTGTGAGACTTATGAAGTCATATTCTGAGAAAAGAGGGAGCAGATTCATGATATGGAGTTCAAAATCGAATCTTCAATTTCCAGGCAAACGTCTTTCCTTCCATCCATGACCTTACAACTTGTTTCTTTGTCCAATGGTTGTGTATTTTACCTGTTGGGCCCCACTCACTGAACCTACTTATCTGAATCCCTCCTCAGACAGGGTAGCCTGTGTTGTACCTTCTGAATGTGTCAAACACTGTGGTGTTGAAGTCGGCTGCACTAACTATGCCTACCCAATACTGGTGATGGAACTGATGCCTAACGGTAAGAAAATGTCCATGCTCAGATGAGTGGAGAGAGAAAATAATAGCAGAATATTATTCAGCCTTAAAAAATAAGGAAATTCTGTCATTTGTGATAAAATAGATAAACTTGGAGGACATTATGCTAAGTGAAATAAGCCAGATACAGAATGACAAACACTGCATGATGTCACTTATATGTGGAATCTAAAGAACTTGAACTCATAGAAGCAGAGAGTAGAACGGTGGTTGCCAGGGGTTGGGAGTAGGGGAAATGGGGAGTTGTTGGTCAACGGGTACAAACTTTCAGTTATAAAATGAATAAGTTCCGGAGACCTAATGTACAGCATGGAGACTATAGTTAATAATAATATACTGTATACTTGAAATTTCCTGAGAGAATAGACCTCAAGTATTCTCACCACAAAACAAGAAAACAGTAACTATGTGAGGTGATGAATATGTTAATTAGCTTGATTTTGGTAATCATTTCACAGTATATATATATATATATCAAAACATCACACTGTATACTTTAAATATATATAATTTTTAATTGCCATTCATATCTCAATAAAACTGGAAAAAAAGTTCGTGCTAGGACTGCTTCAGAGGCCTGATCTATACATGGGCCATGAGGAAGGGATATGGTGTAATCCTTAATAATTCTTACTTCTATTAATTCAATTGCATTCATCAGATATTTCTTGAGAACCTTCCATAAGCTCGCAGCCCTGTACTGGGCCTGGGGAATACAGAGATGAGCCAGATATAATTTCTATTAGAAGAATCCTCCTGTAGGTTCAAGACTGCCTTCCAGGCCAATCGAGAACATTCAAATGATCTATTTGTCAATAGAAGAATTGCATAGCTATAGACTTATAAACTCAGAGGACTGGAGATTAACTATTTATCCCTCTTTCCTTAGACCAGTGATACCCAAACAATAGACCTCAATCTATTTAATTTACAACTATTTATTGACTGTCTACTATGCGCCAAACACTGCTCTGTTGCTCAGAAAACATCAGTGAAGTAGGCACAAAATCCCCTATCCCTTGGAACTCACATTCTAGTTTCATGAGATAGAAAATAAACCACATAGATACTTAATAAGTAAATGAGACAAGACATTAGATGGTGATGTTTGCTGTGGTGAACAGAAAGAGAGCCAAGTTTAGGGGTCAGGAGTGACCAGGTGATCTTGTACCTTAGGTCCATCAAAGGTTAGCTAACACTTCTAAGACCTTTCTCCTCCCTGACCCACATGAACTTTGTCAGAAGGAAGGGAGCACGACCCACAAGTGATATCACCCATCCACCCCATTCGACACTTTGTCCTAGGAGGTTTAAGGGCATTACTAATGGGAAGAGGGAACTGGAGGATGAAGTGGCCATGAGGTCTCAAAACCCTCAGCTCTGCCCACCAAAGACCTCTTCAGCAGTACCACCTACTAGGCTTCTTCCTCTCCAGTTCTCTAAGTCTTCAGGAAACCAAAGAAAGGTGAGAAGGCACAGTTTCCTTTCTATCAATATTAGGTTCCAGCAGATGATCTCTAAATTCCTATTTAGAACTAAAATTCTATGCTAGATTATTCTTAAATTAATCTCAAATCGAATATGCAGGAAATGCCATACGATGATGTGTGTTAATAGGCACATCAGTTAGTAAATGTTCCAGGGAACACTTTTATCTTTGAACCACTCTCTGGTTTGACCTAGCCCTTGTAGATCCTGGCGTCAAATTTCTAACCACTTCTTGTACCCTCTTCCGGCCCCAGGACTGCGAGGCCTGATGCTGTCAGCGATGTTAGCCTCTCTCATAAGCTCTCTGACCTCCATCTTCAACAGCGCCAGCACCCTCTTCACCATGGACCTCTACACCAAGATGCGGAAGCAGGCATCGGAGAGAGAGCTCCTTATAGCTGGAAGGTGAGAGACCTGGTTTCTGTGTAGAATTTCTCCGGAAAAGTACAGATATAGAAGTGACCTAGAGCCTCTTCATCTTTGGCTTTAGTGAAACTAATCATCAAGTTCTAGAGTGGAGGAAGGAACATTAGAGGACGTTTAATCCAACTTGGTCTCTTTCCACATGCAAAACTTGGGGCCATACCTTTAAATGAAATAGTTGCTTTTTCGGGCTTTTGAATGATTGTCTCCTGTTTTTCCCTCTCCTCACATGCTCTCCCAGACACATCTTCATGAAACTCCCTCAGTGTTTTTCATTACTTATAAACTTCCCACCTACTCTGATAGGTTAATGCATTGTCTCTAGAAGTTTCTGTGTATATCACAGGAAGGAAGCAACAGATTAATCCATCCACACGCTATTACAGAGGAGTTTATCAACTACATTCATTAAGAAATGGGGTGTCAAGAGAAACTGACAACTTATTTAAAAGGTTGTGCCTTGTTGAAGATAGTAACAATTGCTTTAGTAAATTAACCACTTGGGGGGAAAATTCCAAGGGCTTACTTGGTCCAGATCTTGACTCTGGACAATGCTATTGGAGAGGTAGAAAAATCTGTGTTTCTGTAGTGGAGATAGTGTTGGACTAGAATTCAGAAGGCCCAAGACACAGTAGTCCACTAGTGGGTATATGATCTTGGGCATGAGTCCCCTTTGTCCCAATGATAACCTAATGAGTTTTTTTTCTCTCCCTTTTATTAAATGTCTACTATCTCCCAGAATACAAATATGAAAAAAAGACATATATGTGAAAAATAATTTCCTGCCTCATGCTATTTATGCCTTCATGGGGAAAATAGACAGTTAATAAATATATTCTATATCAGATGACAAAAAGTGCCAGGAAGAAAATTAAAGGAGGATTAAAGGATGGGGGCTACTTAAGACAGGTGCTCAGGGAGTCCTCTCTGAGGAGGTGGCACTTCAGCAGAGCCCTGAGGGAAGTACGGGAGCGAGCCCCTGGCTCTGTGGGGATGAAGAGGAAGTGCTGCATTCCTCCTGCAGTCACATGCGTGGCGTGTTTGAAGACAACAAGAGGTGGGGCCGGTACCTGAGGAGCAAGTGGGAGATGATAAGAAACATGGTCAGAAAGATAGCTGGAGGTTAAATCATTTAGGGCCATTTAAGCAGCAACAAGACTTTGGATTTTATTCCACACGTGAAAGAAAAGAATTGAAGATAAGAGAGCAAGTAAGGTACTTTCCAGTGACCTGCTTTCCAATGATGATAACAACAAGGAGAGTGGATGTTATTTCTTGAATCTTTACTGTGTCCTAGGTATTGTGCTAAGACTTTCCACAGCTTATCACATTTAGTTATTGCAAGATTGCAGAGGTTTTGTAAGGCTTAAATGAGATACTTGTTCCTCGGTCTCCTGCCCAAATGCTTGTCCCCCTCTTTTTCCAACCCTCACCTCTCTGTTTCAGATGAACACAGAGAAGCAATGACCTTTTACAGACAGCCCAATAAATTATGTTTGTTTATTCACACCAGAAGTACAGAATATTGTGGAGTTTATATAAGTGAATCAGCCATGCTCCCTGGACTCCAGGAAACTCTAATAGGTTTTTACCACCTACCAATATTTTAACTAATTCTTTCTACCTGCCAAAGTATTCAAGTAGCAAAATGCACAAATTAGCATTTCTGGTCAATTCACTCAACATTCTGGGATAGAGGATATTTTCATTCTAATCTATGCAAACTGACAGTTTCTCTCAAGCCAGGAAAAAAGATCAAAATAAGAGTCTGCTTTCTCTATCATACAAATAATTACTTATTAAAAGAAATAGTGTGATGTTTTTTCTAACTGATATATTGCATAAATTGCACTAGAGAATTATTAATCAATTGCTGACATTTGAACTGTTTTTATGAGTGGATATTTCATCCTGTAGTTGAAGCTATTATGACTAATTATAGACAAGAAATTGCTTGCTTGGAATTTCACTGACAGATCATCATCAAGTATGGCATGGCTTCGTGTGTGGTCAAAGAGCTTGATTTTATTTGGAAAATCAATGAATGGCCACAAGAATGGATTCAAGAACTAAAGCACAATGGAAGTACTAATACGTCTTTTGTTTAACATTTATTTTGTTTTCTTCCCAGGCTATTTATGATTCTATTAACTGTCGTCAGCATTGTGTGGGTCCCATTAGTAGAGGTAGCTCAAAATGGACAACTGGTCCATTACATAGAGTCAATTTCCAGCTACGTTGGACCTCCAATTGCAGCTGTCTTCCTGCTTGCCATCTTTTGTAAAAGAGTGAATGAACAAGTAAGTGAAATTGGGAAACTTTTTCCCTGCTGGAAGGAGAAAAAAACTATTCCTATCACTGGTAAAATGCATTCTTTTTACCTTATTTATACAACTCCAAGTCCATCTCAATTTCACTTGTGGTCAGCCACAATTCCCGATTCTCACTAAAGTGTGTAAATACATAGTATACACTTAGTATAGTATACTTACATAGTATACTACAGTCTTTATATTTCTTACAAAATGTTATATACATACATGGCATGGTGCTGAGGAACACATGTTTTGAAGTAAGGCTGCCAGGGTCCAATCCTGGCTCTACCACTTAATAGCATTGTGATCTTAAGCAAACCATTTCACTCTGTAAAATGAAGATAGTCACAATGCCAACCTTATATGATTGCGGTGAGAATTAAAAGAGAAAATATGTGAAGTGCTTAGGAGAAAACCTACCATTAGTAAGGCTTCAAAATGTGTTAATTTCTATTATGATATATATAATTGATTATTATGGACCATGTACATTTAATCCCTTAATTGTTCCCAGGTGTTAGCCTTATTATTACAATTTCCAGATGAGGAACAGATGCAGAGAGGTTAACATCTATGTGTCTTCCACATGCTACTTAATATTAGTAAATGGGATCTTCAAATTCAGATTCAGGTCATCCCCCATCCAGAGGTCATACTCTTAATCTCTCTGCAATACCATTTCCCTTAAACATAACAGCTCAATTGGGTGAACAGGGGACACATGTTTCCACTGCCACCAACTTCTCAGAGAGGGTAAATGCTTTTAATTGTCAAAAGCTTAATAAATTACAATTATCTAACATTAACTCTGTGAATTGTGTAACATAAGTCATAGTTCTGCTTATTCTACAACATAACGTTTTTAAATCTATATATAAAATATGAGTCAAGGTAAACTTAGGCTTAGGTCAGAGTAGACAATAGTGTCCTGGAGTTGGAGAATCAACAACACAATGATATTTCAGGACCATAGAAAGCAATATCCCACTAGCAAATCCACGTGTTTGCAACTTTTCCCTGCTTTGGTGACCTTGTGCTCAAGGTCAGCCATTTTTTGGTTCTTAGTAGAGAAAAGGAAGTAGGATGATCATCATGACCTATTTGAATGAGCTTCTCTTGTTTTCTAAATACTCTGATTTTGTTCTTGTTTCTTTTGCAGGGAGCCTTCTGGGGTCTAATGGTTGGACTTGTGCTCGGCCTCATTCGTATGATTGCAGAATTTGTCTACGGAACAGGGAGTTGTTTGGCTGCCAGTGGCTGTCCGGACATCATCTGTGGAGTGCACTACCTATACTTTGCCATGATTCTCTTCTTTGTTACCACGCTGGTCGCCCTGGGAATTTCCCTGTTAACAAAACCCATTCCTGATGTACATGTGAGTAATTGGTAATATATGATACTTGAGATTATCATCCAGTCATTCAGCTAAGCGATTTGCACCTAGAATGTGCAGAGAACCAGTGAATTAAGAAATATTTGATTAGGAAATGGGCTTCATCCTCAAAAAACTGCACAATGCATTTCAGAGGTAAATCTACACCTTTGTTATAGGATACCAGGAAGAGAGTAATTAGAATTGCCTAAGACTGGGAGAGACTTCACAGTGGAGCTATTATTTGGGCTGAAACTGTTTGGGGAAGAGTAGAATTTCACTTACAGCACAAACACTGACACAGACACAAAAAAAATCAGCACATGATACCAGAGGGCAGGAAGAAGAAAAATAGAACAACGAGATGCATTTTTTGCTTTTCAAATTGGCAAAAGGGTTTAATATGAATATGTTCAATGCTGCTGAGCATGTTGAGAAATGCCCACTCTCCTGAGCTGTTGGTGAGGGTGTGAATTTTATAATTTGGAGGAGGGCAGTCGGGCAGTATTTATCATTTTTAAAATTCTCATACCCTATGAATCAACAATCCATTTCTAGGAGCTTATTACATAGAAATACTTGTACAAGTAGGAAAAATATATGTATAAAGATTTTCTCTGCAAGAGATTTCTAATAGAAAAAAGTGGAAACAAGCCAAATTTCCATCGCTAGTGGAATAAGTACACAATAATGCTGCCTTGAATATTACACAGCTATTCGAGAACCTGAGGAGCCCAATTTGCTTTTTCAAATGTCCATGATATGGTTAAGCGGGAAAAATCACTTGCAGAATTAAATAGTGTTGTATAATATAACTTTTTTAAAATAAAATACATTTAAGTATGTATATGTTTGTCTAAGCAAAGAAAGAAAGTCTTAAAGTATATATACCAGAAACGTTCAATAAGAGGTATCTCTAGGACAGGCAGTATAGAGGACCAGCAAATATTAGTCATTTCTTAAATTTAAATATTGCTTCTATACTGATATTGGTTGAATTTATGACTAACATGTATAACTTATTTATTTTGCATTTATCACTCATAATCTTTGAAGCAATGCTTATTTGCACATATCCTTGAGGAGCGGCAAATAGATAATATGTGGATGGGAAAAGCTGAAGCACCGAGTGGTTCAAATTACTTTACCGAAGACAAGTCACCAGAATTCATAACTAAATATTTATGCTGAATATTGAGAGTTGAATGAAAGAACACTGGAAAACATATCACAGTTCTCAAAGAAATATATATCAACGTTAAACTCTTTCATGCCAATAGAAATAACCGTAATTTATTATTAATTTTTAGCAAAAGAATTTGTTTGAAGGACCAGTGAGACCATTTAGCTAGTTTATGTTTATGTTTTATTAATATACTGTGACGTTTGATCTTTCAAAATAGACTGATAAAAACCAATAGCCATTTCAGAGAAAGCCATGAATAGTGTTGTGGACCTAATCTAACAGTGCAGTAAAGAAAAATCTCAGGAAGATAGGCCTTCGGCAAAACTACAAAGTGCCTGGTTAAGTTAGAACAGAAATTCAAGGAGCTCCAATAAGAGATTTTTAATAAAAGAAATGGATTTACTATAAAAAAAATGCTATGATTAAGAATGTTATGCAGGGGCCGGCCCTATGGCTGAGTGGTTAAGATCATGCACTCCGCTTCAGCGGCCCAGGGTTTCACCAGTTCAGATCCTGGGCGCGGACATGGCACCACTCATCAAGCCATGCTGAGGCAGCGTCCCACATGCCACAACTAGAAGGACCCACAACTAAAAATATACAACTATGTACTGGGGGGGCTTTGTAGAGAAAAAGGAAAAATAAAAAAATCTTAAAAAAAAAAGAATGTTGTGCAGCTACAATTAGGAATCTTGTTATGTCACCATCAAATAAGAAAGCCAATTACAAATTCTAGTAAATCTAAACAAGAAGATTCTTCTCTGGGCTAAATATGAGGCCAGTTAAAATGAAGCATGGCTTTGATCATATGATGGATTGTAATTTTAAAAGCCCATTTGACATTTCGAACAATTTCGTTAGAATGATCTAGAGCTGGTATTTATTTGTTGTGTCCAATCACATGTCTTGGATCTATGGCACACAAAAAAGTCACATAATAGCATAAATGCTACTTAATTTCAAATTTTAAATCAACATACGGACTAAGCATGGAAATCTTAATTATATTTACAGAAAACAATTAAAATTCTATAAAGCTTAACAGTTTTAAAATAATGGTAGAGTTGACAGAGTTTGGAGGCAGCGACGTGTAAGGGTACAAATGCTGTCAGAACTCAATAGTACATAGATACTACCTAAACATGATGAATCTGGAAACGGAGCTTAAGAAGATATTTGAAAAGTTATAAAAGTAACCACTAGGTAAACTGTAAGTAATAATGATCTAGCAAATAGCAGTTGAATGATAAGGACAATGAGGGAAGCTGGGGTATGGTGTAAGTTAGACAAATCTTCAACTATTAAGAAATTATAAATCCAGAAGTAGGAGTTTTAAACGTATTATTTAAGACTTTTCAATATCTACCAGAAGAATTAAAAACAGAAATAATTAAAAATGATTGGTGTGTTCAGGTGAGTGGGTGTGGCAGGGGAACTTTTGACTGTGATGTATATTCTTCTGGGCTGTTGATTGTTTTGCGATGTACGGTAAACAAATACACCACTGTAGTGTGGTAAACATTTCCCCATCACTAACAGACTTGTCTGTGGTCTCTGGGCAGCTGCATCGCCTGTGCTGGGCTCTTCGGAACAGTACAGAGGAACGAATTGATTTAGATGCAGGGGAGAAAAGATACGAAGAATCTGATGATGGTGATGATGAAGGTACTATCTGGTCTACGTTTGGTTTTCATGCAGAAACTCTGTACCTGCATTGGTTTAGGGTTTGTTTGTTTGTTTTTTAATACCACTAAATTCAGTTTCTAAAAAAGCTGTTAGATTTATGGCAAACTGAAACTTTAAAATCTTACTTTCCCAACAACCAAGACAATCTGTTACACATGAAATCTGCCCATTCATCTGCCTGTCCGTCAGTCTGTCTGTCCATCCATCATCCATCCACGGGTCTGTGTGCCAGCTCTGAGGTGCAAATCAATTCTAGTCTCTCCTGTTCCCAGTCACGTATTAAATGTTCAACAAATTGATCTTGATTGATTAAGCATCTTCACACCTTCTTCTCCAGACTTATTTCTCACTATTCCCTCCAATACACCCTTCATTCCAGCCAGGCAGACTTCTTCACTTTTCCCCCATATATACAAAGCCGCCTAGAATGGTTCTACCTCCTCTCCAAGAGAAAAAAATGCCTGTTCTTTAAAACTAGGTTCTAATCTCATTTCATTCATGAAAATTTCTCCAGCATCCATCCCCATGGCTCTTTATTTACCTGATGTTTTTAAAACCACTGACAAAATTTAACACTTCAGGGTATGTTGTCTTGAACTGTACGCTAATTGTTTGGTTTGGTTTGGGTTCTTCAAATTGAAGGAACGATCAAGCCTTCTACTTCTTTTAGGTTTTTACATCAGTGTTCCTGGGTAAGACTGGCCTATAATTTTCCTTTTTGGTACTTAGTCTTTGTCTGGTTTTGGTATTAAGACCATAGCGTTCTCATAGAATGAATTGGAAAGTAGCTGTTTTTCCATTTTATGGAAATATTTCAATAAGATTGGAATGATATCTCCATTAAAGTTTTGATATTTTGTGAGTAATACCATTAGAGCCTAGTGAATCTGTGTGTTTATGTGTCTGTGTGTGTGTGTGTGTGTATGTGTGTGTAAGTGGCGGAGAGAGACAAAGAGAAACAGAGAAGGTCTCTGATTAAATTTATATGATGGCTATTGAATGAATTAGATTCCTATTTCTTCACTAATCAGTTTTGGAAAATTATATATTTCTAGGATTGTGTCCATTTAGTACACATTTTAAATACATTGACATAAAATTATTAATAATATCTTATTGTCTCTTCCGTCTCTACTGCCTCTGTAGTTCTGTCTTCATTTTAATTAGTAATATAATTTTTTGTGATTTCTCTTTTTTCTTAATAAATCTTACAAAAGAGTTGTCTATTTTACTTTTCTCAAAGAATCAACTTTTGGCTTTGTTATTTCTCTCTATTATCATCCTTCTTTCTATTTCATTACTTTCTGTTCTCATTTGTACACCCTCCCATTTATGCTATTTGGGTTTGTTTTGTTGTTAGTTTTTGTAACTTAAGTTGGGTATTACTTCATTAATTTTCAGCCTCTCTTCTTTTCTAACATAAATAACTGAGACTATATATTTCCCTCAAAGATGTTGCATCTCACAACTAAGTTGTAGAATTTTCATTACCATTTATTTCTAAGCTTAGTATTACCTTCATTATGGTTTTCATAGACATAGTTTAGAAGTATTATATTTAGAAGTACATATACTATGAAGTTTAGAAGTGTGTTTTAAGTTTTCTGATGCTGCAACAAATAGCCTTGTAATTAAGTCTTTTGAGGTGGTTTTTTTTAAGTGAGGAAGATTGGCCCTGAGCTAACATCTGTTGCCAATCTTCCTCTTTTTGCTGGAGGAAGATTGTCACTGAGCTAACATCTGTGCCAATCTTCCTCTATTTTGTATGCGGGATGCAGCCACAGCGTGGCTTGATGACCGATATGTAGGTCCATGCCTGGGATCCAAACCCACAAGCTCCGGGCCGCCAAAGCAGAGCACGTGAACTTAACCACTATGTGACCAGGCCAGCCCCAAGTCTTTTATATTTTTGCCAGGATACCTTTGGGATAGAGTTTAAGAAGTTTTATTTTGGGGTTAAAGGGTTAATGCCTACATAATATCCTCTCCATGGGAATTGAATCATGCTTTTCTAGCAACAATGTGTGAGAGTGTCTGTTTCCACACAGACTCACTAATATAATATATTGTGAGACTTTTGAGTTTTTTATCACTGATAGGTGAGTAGTGGTATTTCAGTGTAGTTTTAAATTAATTTAAATTTCTCTTTTTTAGTAAGCTTAAGAACCATCTGTCTTATCAATTTCCCTAGTATGTTTTCATGGGGTGGTTGGTGTCTTAGAAACCCGTTATATAGTAAGGATATTAAACCCTTTGTGATGTAAGATGAAAATGTTTTTCCCCAATTTTTCATTTGTTTTTCCTTTGTTTATTGGACTTCATGCCATGCAAAAATTTTCCATTTTTATACAATCAAATCTATCTATATTTTCTCAAGGATTCCGCTAACAGAAGTGGTTGTAGTCTTTCTCGCAGTCGTCTGTACTACATTAACAGGGGTTTTATTTCCCATGTTTTGTGATCATTCGTTTATCTTTCTTTGTTTCAGATAATCCTGAGGAAACTCGTGGATGTCTCAGGAAGTCTTATGACGTATTCTGTGGTTGGGAGAAGCAAGGCCCCAAGCTGAGCAAAGAAGAGAAAGAAGCCCAGAGGAAGAAGCTGACAGACACGTCCGAGAAGCCCTTGTGGAGGAGTGTCGTGAATGTCAACGCCATCCTCCTCCTGGCAGTGCTAGTCTTTGCCTACGGCTATTTTGCCTGAACTCTATCTGAGCCACTAGAATGTCTACTAAGCAAAGGATACTGTTATTGACTTTTCACTTTCATAGTTTATTGTATTGCAAAAGGGAGAGAAGCAGTTGGTAATTTTATCTAATGGAGGACTATACAGTTGATTTTTAGCTTTTGTTGTTCTTTTGTGTCAATAAAAAAAGAAAAAGAGTTGATAATTTAGAAAGCCAGTGAGTTGATATATGTGTGTATAAACTAGGAGCTTGGGTCTAAATTCTTTTTTTTAAAATATAGCTCACCAAGCGGGTTATCCTACCTTATATGCCTCTCCCAACTCTGCCTCGCACAGCAATCGCCTCATCTGCAAAGCAGTGACCTCCTCCTGTTTTTTTCTTACTAATCTCAGAGATTTGGAAAATACAACTATTTTCTAATAGTTGAGGGGAAGTGAGCTAAAATGCCTGTTGTAAATGCTTTTACAAATCTTTACTGGAAATTATTACCTTATGTCTTAAATAAAGCCATCCCTACTAAATGCTAGCATGTCAAGCCATTGATTTTTTAAACCTCTTTATTAAAATATAATTCACATACTGTAAAACATGTCTGTTTAAAGTATATAATTCAGTGTATTTTATAATATTCAGAGGTGTACAACAATTACCACAACCTAATTTGAGATGTTAGCATTAACTTGTTTATTGGCATTTTTATTTGAATATACTCATTTCTCTGTATTTATCTCTATTTTATTTTGACATTCTAAATGACAATTATCTGTATGTGGAATTATACATAGGTTTAAAAAACATCTTTTTAGAAGTAAATCAACTAATTAAATTGTTTTTAATAAATTACATAAGAAACACTTATCTATCATATTTGTTATGAAAATTCAAACAATGCTTTGGTCTGTAAAATTAAATATAATACTCTGCACTGACAATTCATCGCTCCCATCTATTCCCACTCTTTCCAAAGGAATAACTGTTAACAGTTTAAAGCATGTGTTAAAGCAATTTTTCTACTAATTTATATACATATATGAACTTACACATATTTTCACATAATGCAATCTTAGTTTATGTATTGTTCTGTAACTGGCTTTTTCATATAAAATTGATATTGGAGATCTTTGCCTATTAGGACATATAGATATCCCTCATTCTTTTTAATAGTTGCTCATTATTCCATAAAATCATTTACCATAATTTGACTATTTTTCTACTGTGGAACATTCTGTGAGTTTCAATTATTTTCTATGATCAACAATACTTAACTGACATATCTGTATATTCATCTTTTTGCTAATTAGTTTTATTTTCTTTAATGATTGATTCCTACAAATAGACTACTGTTAATAAGTATGAACATTTAATATATTGATAAAAATTAAAAATTTGTGTTCCAAAAAGGTTTCACCAATTTACATTCTCACCATCACTGTATGAAAGTTCCTGTTTATTCACATCCTTGATTATAGAGTATATCATCATTCTTAATTAATGTTTGTCAGTTTGATGACTGAAAAATAATTTCATTTTTTAAATTTGTGTTTCCGCGTTTATTAACAAGATTGTATGTACTTACATATATTCAATAGCTATTCATATTTTTTCTTCTGTGAATTTCTTGATATATTTTACCAATTTTCTAATTTATTTATAGATATTCTTTAGATAGTCTATTATTTATTATTTGCAAATATTTTTTCTTGAAGTCTGTGTCTCGCCTTTTAGCATTTTATGCTGCCTGTTGTACAGAAGCTTTAATTTTTATTTAGTCAAATTGTTTCATATATTCCTTATAGTTTCTGAGTTTTGTGATTTACTTTCAATAGTTTGTCCTTTGAGGGTTTTGTTGTCATTATTTTGTTCTGTCTTGTCTTAAAGAATGTGCTCAAATCCTACATTATTTAGCAATTTATTTTTCTCTTGTTATAGCACACGGTGGGCATCATTAAGCCCAACTAATGTAGATCACATGAATTCATTTTAATTTCTGACTAATAACTTATAATATTAGATATATTTGATTTCCTTAACGATTCCCCTTTAGATAGATATTCAGATTGTTTAAATATTTTGCCACCACAAATAATGCTGCAATAGTCATCTTTATATCTAGATCCCCACTAATGGTTCTATTTCTATAAGATAGAATCCTCAAAGTGGTATCACCAAGTCATGGATGCATTTATCTATATTTTTAGTAGATACAGACAGATAACTTTCCAAAAAGTTGGAGCAATTCACATTCCCGCCAACAATAGAGAATAAATAGGTCTGTTCCCCTTCAGGCTCAGTACCACTAAAAGTTGTTACTTTTTCAAAAATTACTAATCTGATTGGTTAAAAATCTTATAGGAGCTCTAATTAATCATCTATTTTAACTTCACTGAGTTGCCTGTTTATAACTTTTTTCTACTTTTCTATCTGGTGGTTTATGATGGGAAACAATTTTAAGCAAAGCAGGAAATCACAAAAGGTAAAAATACATATTTAACTGAATAAACTATTGGCATTTTTAATATCAAAACGGAAGTTAAAATATGGAGCCAAAAAGATATTGCAACACAATTAAAAGAGAGAGCTCCCCTAAATAAATTAGAAAAGGATGAGCAAGGCTGATTGTTGCACTGGATCTGGAAGGGAAGGAACAGACTTGGGTTTTCTAGATGCGATGTAACTCTTGTAATCTACAATGTAATCTGGCATGGCCAATAAGCACACGTCCCAGGAAGCTATCCTCACAAGTTACTCCAAGAGATTTCTTCCTTTGATGCCTGACGTCATTTACCCCTGCCTTAAACGCAGCACTTTAATGTAAAACCATTAAGAATTATTTAAGTTTTTGAAATTTTTCTTATTAGGTTAAGGAAGTTTCTTTTAATTCCTAATTTACTAAGAGGCTCTTTTAAAATTACAAACAGGTGTTGAACTTTATCAAAAATTTTATTGAGTTAATAATGGGGTTTTTTTCTTTAAATGAATCACTGATTTCTGTCTAGAAGTGAACATTGACCCCTGCCTCATACTATATGCAAAACGTAATTTGATTTGAACTACAGTCCTCAATATAAAAGCTAAAACCATAAGGATTCTAGACAAATTATGAAGGAATAACTTCGAGTCCTTGGAATAGACCATGTCTATCTAGAGAGGATGCAAAAAATACTAATCACAAGAGAAAAAATGATGCATTGGATAACATCAAAATTGAAAACTTCTTTTTTCCAGCCTTATTGAGATATAAATGACATATAACATTATGTAAGTTGAAGGTGTATGTTATGATTTGATACATGTATACATTAAGAAACATTTACCATAGTAGCATTAGTTAACAAATCCTTCACCTCACATTATTACCATTTGTTCTTGTGGTGGTGGTGAGAAAATAAAACTCTATTCTCACAGCAAATTTCAAAGTATACGATACAGTATTGTTAACTGTATCACCATGCTGTATATTAGTTCACCAGAACTTATTCATTTTATAACTGGAAGCTTGTATCCTTTGACAAACATATCCCTATTCCCCCACTCGACACCATTGCCAACCACCTTCTGTTTCTATGAGTTTGATTTTTTAGATTCCATATATGATATCAGATGGTATTTGTCCTTCTCCATCTTACTTTTTTCACTTAGCACAATGCCCTCAAGGTCCATCCATGTTGTTACAAATGACAGGATTTCCTTCTCTTTTCTGGCTGAATAATATTCCATTGTGTGTACATATATATATGTATAATCATTTTCTTTATGCATCCATCCATCAATGGACACAAAGTTTGTTTCTGCGTTTTGGCTGTTGTGAATAATGCTGCAATGAACATGAGAGTGCAGATATCTCTTCAAGATAGTGATTTCATCTTCTTCAAACATATACCCATAAGTTGGATTGCTGGATCATATGGTAGGTCTATTTTTAATTTTTGGAGGAACCTCCATACTGGTTTCCATAGTGGCTATACTGATTTACAACCCCACCAACAGTGCACAAGTGTTCTCTTTTCTCCACGTCTTTGCCAGCCTTTGTTATCTCTCGTCATTTGATATTAGTCATTCTAACAGGTGTGAGGCAATATCTCATTGTGGTTTTGAATTGTATTTCCCTGATTAGTGATGGTGAGCACCTTTTCATGTACCTGTTGGCCATCTGCATGTCTTCTTTGAAAAAATGTCTATTCAAATTGTTTGCTATTTTTTAACTGTTTTGGTTTTCACTATTCAGTTGTACAAGCTCCTTATATTTGTAATATTAACTCATTATCAGATATATGGTTTGCAAATATTTTCTCCCATTCCATAGGGTTGACTTTTCATTTTATCAATTGTTTCTTTTGCTATGCAGAAGATTTTTAGTTTGATGTAGTCCCACATGTTGGTTTTTGCTTTTGTTGCTTGTGCTTTAGGTGTCATCGCCAAAAAAATCATTGTGAAGACCAAGGTCTGAGAGCTTTCTCCTCATTTTCTTCCAGGAATTTTATGGTTTTAGGTCTTACATTTAAGTCCTTAACACATTTATAGTTAATTTTTATGAGTGGTGTAAGATAGGTGTCCAGTTTCATTCTTTTACATGTGGATATCCAGTTTTCCCAGCACCATTTATTGAAAAGACTATCCCCATTGAGTGCCCTTGGTGTCCTTATCAAATATTAGTTGACCATATATGCATGAGCTTATTTCTGGTCTCTCTATCCATTCCATTGGTCTGTGTGTCTGTTTTTATACCAGTACCATACTGCTTTGATTACTATAGCTCTGTAATATAGCTTGAAATTTGGAAGTGTGAGGCCTCCAGCTTTATTCTTCTTGCTTAATATCGCTTTGGCTATTCAGGGTCTTTTGTGGTTCCACATGAATTTTAGCACTGTTTTTTCTATTTGTGTGAAAAATGCCATTGGAATTTTGATAGCGATTGTAGTGAATCTATAGATGGCTTTGGGTAGGATGGACATTTAACCATAATAATTCCTGATCCTTGAACATGGTATATCTTTCTATTTATTTGTGTCTTCTTCAATTTCTTTCATCACAGTCTTATAGTTTTCAGTGTACAGATCTTTCACCTCCTTAGTTAAATTTATCCCTAAGTATTTGATTATTTTTGATGCTATTGTAAACAGTATTTTTTCCTTATTTTTTTTCAGATAGTCCAGTTAATGTGTACAAATTCAACTGATTTTTGTATCTTGATTTTCTATCCTTAAACTTTAATAAATTCATTTATCAGGTATAACGTTTTTTTGATGGAATCTTTTGGATTTTCTTTTGGAAAAGATCATGCTATCATCAAACAGAGATATTTTTACTTCTCCTTTCCAATTTAGATGACTTTTATTTCTTTTCCTTGACTAACTGCTCTGGCTAGGACTCCCAGTACTATGTTAAATAGAGTGGAGAGAGTAGGTACTCTTGTCTTGTCCCTGATGTTAGAGGAAAAACTTTCAAACTTTCACCATTGAGTATGATGTTAGCTACGGGCTTGTCATATATGGCCCTTTATACTCAATTTATTGAGAAATTTTACGATGAAAAGATGTTGAATTTTGTCAAATGCTTTTTCTCCATATATTGAGTCAATCACATGATTTCCTTTCATTCTATTAACATGATGTATCGCATTTATCGGTTTGCATATGTTGAACCATTCTTGCATCCTAGGTATAAATCCCACTTAATCATGGCATACAATCCTTTTGATGAGCTATTGAATTCAGTTTGCAAGTATTTTGTTGAGAATTTTTGCATCCATATTCATCAGGGATATTGGCCTGCAGTTTTCTCTTCTTGTAGTATCCTTATGTGGCTTTAGTATCAGGGTAATGCTGGCTTTATAAAATCATTTTGGGAGTGGTCCTTCCTCTTCAACTTTTCGTAAGAGTTTGAGAAATTGTCATTAATACTTCTTTAAATGTTTGGTAGAACTCACACATGAAGCCATCTAGTTCTGGGCTTTTCTCTGTTAGGAGGTTTTTGATTACTGATTCAATATCCTTACTTATTATTGTTCAATCTCCTTACGTTACCAATAACAAGGAAATATGATTCAGACT